GGGGAGGGAGGGGAGCGGAGGAGTGGGAGGGAAGAGGGGAGGGGTGAGGACTCGAGGGGAGGGGAGCGGGGGCGGAGCTGGCTCCTTCCGGCTGGGACCTCGCTCCGCGCCCGCTGTCACCCGGCTGCGTCCCTCGCCTGCGGTTCTGGGACCGCGGTGGGCCGGGGACTCGAGCCCGGGGAGGTCAGGGGGAGGGCCTCCCCTTGGAGGATCCGGTTTCCTCCCCTCGTCCCGAGGCCTCCACACCAAGCGCGCCTCTGGAAGTGGGCAGGAGCGGGGTGGTGGCACCGAGGGGCTGCGACACTTGGGTAGTGAGGGACTCGCTCAGGCCCCATTCCTGGATCTCCTCCCGGCCTCGGGAGTTCTCATCATTCTGTCACGAAGAGTCTCTAAAAATGCGCCTGAGAGGCTACACGTCCGAACTGGGCCCCTGGCTGGGTCGCCGAGTCTGCCCTGCTCCGGGGAGCCCCCAGCCTCCGGCATCGTGTGAGGGGCGCCCCCTAGAGTTGAGCGGTGCCTGGATGGTAACCAGCCTTGGCTGAGTGGCTCCGGGTGAGTGCTCACCATCCTCCGAAGCATCGTTGTCCCCACTTGACAGTGTGAGGCAATTGAACCTTGGGGAAATAACTTGCGGGGCCATAAAACATATGAATGGGAAATTCACGTTGAAACTCAAGTTTATCTGACTCCCAATCCCGGTCACAACCGTCACCCCTACTGCCGGTTTCCGTTGCTAACGAAGTACTTGAGTCCAGGCCTAGAAATGCGCGCATTTCCTACTTGGGCTCTCAATATTTTGGAGGAAAATTTAGACTCCTGAAGGTGGTATAAAATAAAACAGCCCAGCGTAGGGAAGGCCAAGGGACTGAAAGTTGGCGCATCTCGGGGACTGCAGTGCTGTGAAGAGACAGGAACCATCTCACTCTCTGTTACCAAGGTTCCCGGTTTCCATGGCAACCCTAAATCTGGAGTTACCCGGATAATTGAGATACTATTGCACTTTAATGTTGCCACCGGCCCCTGAGGCTCTTCCGGCATCACCCCTGCATGGGTCAGAGGCAGAGTCTACACCGCTGAAACACCCCCACCCCCACCCCCC